GTCCACAACATTACATCTTTAGTTACATTATTATTATTATTATTATTATTATTATTATTTTGATAATTATACATATTGAAATTGACTCTATTAATTAAAATAAATAAAATAAAATAAAATATTAAAATATAAAGTTGTATACATTCTAAGAAATTAAAATTAATTAAACAAATAAACTAACTAAGGTGTATAATAATGGCACCTTTTATAGTATTAACTTAACACAAAAAATATCAAGGAAAAAAAATTAAAAAAGGAGAAATATTTGTAGAGTACTTGATATAGATAATTGACATGAGCATCTTTTAAATTGTTTGTCACAATGATAATCATCATCATATTCTGTATATATACTATACATACTATGTATATGACTATGTTAGGTTGTATGTATGAATGTATTAGGTTCGTTTGTTTATATATATTTATTATACATTTATATGTGATTATATATTTATTACATACAAGTTATTATTGACGTAACATTTTGTTTAATAATTATTAATATAATTTAAATAATAATATGTAATATGTAATTCATTAATATCATAATTCGCCGCGTTCGTAAATTTAGTTTTTCTTAAAGGTTGACTGGTAGAGAATGTTTTTAGCATTAAGTTCACCTTTTGTATTTACCATCATGTCTTGTGGTCAATAAAGTTAAATAAATAAATGAATAAATAATTCAGGTTTTTTTTCAAATACGGTAACACGCCCTAGACAGCATCATATCAATTGCCTTCGAAACCCCTACTACTAGGACTCTTCAGCGCCCACTAGTAGAGTCCACTTTGGGAAACTATGCTTAAGAGAGTCATCTTCAAGATATTCATTAACTGAGTAATAGCATTCCTGATTTAGTAATAATTTGAATTTATTGCAAAATGTGGAGCTTCTTTCTTTTATTTTAATGTGTTAAGTAATTTGTTATAGATTTTTACTGCTTTATAATGTGGGCTATTTAATTTAATTTCTTTTCTTCCATTAACTATATACAAGGAAGTATAAGTACATGTTCTTTTATAAAAATTGTTTTGCTATATCTGGGTCGGATATTAAAGATTATACGAACATACTTTTTTTTGTATAATAAAAAGATTTTTGGCGTCAGTACTGTGGCCCCATAACAAAATACCGTACCGAAGTCAAGCAGACGCATAGGCGCAATAGGCAGTCTGGGCACACTCTGCTTTTGCGTTACATTTTAATACAGATAGTGCATAGATAAACTGTGATAATTTGGTCTTTATGTTTTCAATATGTTTTTTCCAGTTTAGATGAGTATCTGTTGTCAATTCTAAAAATGTGAAATGTTCTACTTCCTCAATATGTAAATTAGTTGTTATTGATTCTAAATCTTTTTTTTCCTTTTGGTAAAGCATACCACATTTAGTTTTTTTATTATTTATTTTTAAGCTATGATCAGAGAGCCACAGAGAAATTGTATTAAAAGTTTTGACTAGTTTTGAAAGATAATTATTATTGGGACATTTAAAAAGTAAAGAAATATCATATGCGAAAAGAATACACAATTTCCAAATGCAAGTTAGACGTAAAACAAATTCAACAGCGTGGAAACACGAGAAAGTGACAAATTATCGGATTACTGAAGCGCCAAAAAAGTTCTCAGATCGCTACGAACGTTGGACAAATTTTGACATAACAAGAAACCTAAATTCAACGTACATATGACTCTTTTTCCTCAGCGGTACTTTAGACTTTCTATCTTTACACTGACGACATCTTTTTAGAGCACATATATTTATTTAAATGCTTACAACTTTTTCATTAAAAGAACCGACCGCAAAAATTTTTGCAATTATATCTATTTGCTAAGTTTCATTGAACTCGTTTAAAGAAAAGTGGGTGAAATCGAATAAATCGACTCATCCGAAGAACAGGGTCCGACGTGTTTGTACAGAGAAAAAAGAGAAAAAGTACGTTACGAGAATAATTTCCTTATTCAAACTAAGGTCTACTGAAGGTATTTTGAGAATTTATATATCTTATTTCATTTCGGAAATATAAAATCGAGCGAAACGGTCGATCTGACATCCACAGCGAAGAAGAACGAACGAAGTGTACTATGTTTCGAGAACAAGTAGTCTTGCACATACATCTTTGTTCTACGTATGAGTTTAATCGGTTTCATCCCTTTAGAGGTGGAATATTTTTTTCAAATTTGCAAGGGACCACTACTGAGGTACCCATTTTCATCATCATCGAAATAGGTTTACAAAAATGGCGGCGAAATCGCGTAACAAACACATAAAAAAGAAATACAGTCGAACCTCGGTTAACAAAGTTTCAATGTTCTTTTGAAACACTTTTTGTATTTTTTTTTTTAAATCACAAGTACGCTTTCCATCAGGTGAGATGGAGGTGAAATGCGTACTTACTTTTTAATAAAAAAAGGTACAATGTAATGGAACCTATTTATTACAGCTTGTTTAATGTTACTAATAATGTTCATTACATTTTTAGGTTACGACAACCAGAGGAGCTCGAGGAGCGCCAGGATTGCCGGGACAAAAAGGAGATCGAGGAGAAAATGGTAAATATTATACATACAATAGTTAGTTGTTATGCAAGCCTGTAAAGTTGTTGTTTCATGCGAGTGCCTGTATTGAAACTTGAGCAAGCGAAGGAAGTTAAGATTGAACCACGAGAGAAGCCAGCGGTTCTAAAATAGATTCCTGAGCGTAGCGAGGGTTTCAAGACACGAGACGCAATACAACTTTGCTGTTGAGCGAAACATACAACTTTTCACCTCACTATAGCGAGGAAAATGGTAGATGAAACAAAAACAGTTGCTCTATACATCAGTTTTTTAGCTAAAAGAAAAAGTTTATATTCAGATGTGCTCTGAATTTACACTACATCAATTTTTATTCTTGCTTGCACTTTTATTTTGTGTGATTAAGTGATTATTGAAATTATTTTAGTTCTTCAACGAATTTAAATAATTTAATAAACACAATTAGTTATCATTGTCAATTTAATGTCAACAACAATAAGAATGAAATATAACAATAGATTTATATTATGTAATGTACGACAAATCGCGTGGTTGAACGTATCTTTTTCTTTCATCGAAAGAAAAAGTTAGGTGCACCACAGCCCATCGTCAAGTTCGAATTTCAAAAACTTTTTCCACGCTAACGTGCAAAAAATGCTTTGCGCGCAAATTTGTCATGAGAAAGAAAGCCTTTGCGAGCTAGTGAGATGAAAAATAATATATTACTAACACATTTCAGTTAACTATGTGCCTACTTAAATTTTAATATACCAGACATCTTATCCAAGGTCGTCGACATAGCTGGTAGCATACATATGCAAGACATAAGTGGTATATATGTGGGTATATATTAATATTGTATATTTGTAATGTAGTGTATATTTCTGTTGCTTACACGCTCAGATACATCATTCTCTCTGCAATGACAGACCTTTCGGGTGAAAGAGAGAGTAGTAATAAAAAGAGGAATAGTTCTTCTACCAGCTTTTCAATATTGTTGATTGATGTCTACTCCAGTTTATCAGAATAGCAAAGGTTTAAATTAGATTTTTTTTAATATATAATAGACACACGTTTGGCCACAATCTCACCTGATGTTATTGATGATGATGTTAAGTGACGATGTGACCGACGATGGGCCGCGTTAGCCTTAAAAAAAATACCTATTCACTCTAGCCTTGAATAGCCCCAAATTGTACTTTTCGTGAAATACAGATGCCGAAAGAGCATTTCATTCCTTTGCCGTCGCATCAGAAAGGAGGAAGCAAAGCACTTAATGCGAATAGGTGGAATATCAACGACATAAGAATGGAGTGCTCCGGACCTTCTAGTCGACCGAAGGAGGAACGGTGATGGTGGAACTAAATTGAAAAGTTCCTGCGCACACTCCCCGAAATGTATCCGATAGAAAACCGACAAGCAGGTTACTTTTCTGCGATGGTAGAGTTTTGTAGCTCCACCGAGTCCAAGGTAGCTAACTGGTAATGGGCAGAGCCGTCCCAAAGGTGGCAGCAGTAGGTACTCCATACACGATCGAACTTGTGCTTTATACAGATTTAAAAGCTATTCAGGTGTGAAGTACCGCCTGACCTTATAAAGTATGCTTAGTTTTCTGGCAGCACTTTTTGCCAAGCACTCGACGTATCGCCCAAAGTAGAGGTTGGATGATAAGTCCAGACTAAGTAGCTCAAGGTGGACCCTTATCGGCACGGATACATCTCGGAAAGTCGGAGTAAGGTGTAGGGGATTCCGTTTTGATGCGAAAAGACACGCCTGTGTTTCAGCTGTATTAAACCTGACCCTGTTCGCATCTCCCCAGCTGGAAGCCGCTTTCAGGCTCTGATTCAACCGGGTGACCATCGCCTCTCGTTTACACCGGATCTCTTCGCTCTTGTTTCGTGCGTCTGAGACATAACTCTCTATCACTATGCTGTCGTTTGCATACCCAAAGATACCGGGCATCAGCAGGTCGTTGATATGCAGCAAGAATAGAGTGGCGGAGAGGACAGATCCCTGAGGTACACCGGCATTTATACCATGAGGAGCAGACGAGTAACCATCGACAACTACATGAATTGACCTATACTTCAGAAAATCGCCTATCCGTATGCAAAAGCCAACAGGAATTCCGTAAGCTGGAAGCTTGTTTAACAGGCTATCATGCCAAACCCTATCAAAGGCCTTTGATATGTCGAGAGACACGGCAAACGATTCACCGCGTTTCTCGACTGCCTCGCCATAAATGTGTGGCATACGCAAAAAGATTCCTAGTAGATCGACCACGGCGAAAACCATATTGTCGAGCACTGAGAAGATCGTTATCTTCGAGGTATCCAAGGAGACGGCTGTTCAATACACGCTCCATAGTCTTACAGAGGCTTCTCTTCTCTTCGGTGCTGTAATCGGGACGGCTCACCTAAGGCCTTACAGAGAATTGGATGAAGTCCGGGCTGATCTGGTGTTAGGACCTGACTTAGGTGGCCTTCTCGTATACCCTATGGGTCGGTAGGGAACCCTCCCTATACTCCCTCACTATAATCAAAACTAATGTAGAAACTTATGGGACTGTGAGAAAAACAGGCACACACACACACAGGCACAAACACACACACAAAAACACACATTGTTAGGCATTAAAGTACATAAAAGTTGGTTGATGTAGGTTAGTGTATTATGCTACGTTTCGATTAATTATTTTCTAAATATAGGTATGGATTCTTCGTTGTTGGTGCCCCGTATTTAGTAAGTATCTAGTAGTTTAGAATTTAGTTTCTTAAAGGACATATTTTTTTACAGGAAAAGATGGAGAATTAGGGCCCGCGGGACTGCCTGGAAAGGATGGCAAAGATGTAAGTTGAAAGCGCATCGTTGGTGTAATAAGATCACATCTGTAAAATGCCAAGTTATCAGGAGAGAGGTGTTAAAGGTTCTACGAACAAAATTAGACTAGCAATAGGAGAGTTATAAAAAAGGGATGGCGACAGGTGTCCCAATAACGACGAAGAGCCGTTCATGGACTTTGCTAGTATAATTTTGCGTTTTAGTTTATGCCTGAAAAAAAATATGCAAAAACACTGTAGTTTAGATTAGACATAAAACATGAAAGCTATAAAATACCAAATGAATTAAAAATAATTAAATGCTATATGCCATTACTGGGCATAAAGCAAAAAATAAAATACAATGTGATAAAAATATTTAGACATTATTTAAATAAGAGATAATCAACTTCAACTTTTGTATCTATGGCTCCGTCGTTTTGCGCGACGATTTCGCCAACGTCAGGGTTGAAAGACGTGTGGAGCGGTGGCGAGATAGATTGCCGGTTATTAAAATGCTTCGGCGATAAGAGATAATGAAAATTGCAAAAGAACGTTTTGACAAGAGACCTCTTGCCAAGGTCAATGTCAAATTGATATTGAGAACAGTGTGACTATTTGTGGCAGATTTCAGTTTTTTCGGCAGATTTAATTTTTATTCATTTTCATTGCTGCAGAACATGATAAGTTATATTAAATGTGACAGAATTTGACAGATTTGGGAATATTCGGGAAGTTCTTTATTATTCTTGGGAACAAACTGAACACTTGTTGTTTTCTGCTGCTACAAACAAACGTCTGAAGCGAAATACAGGACAATGATATAAACATAACCTATATCAACTTTATAACCCTAGCTGTACAGGCTGTATTCAATTAGCTTTTTTGACGCTTTGATAATGAATTACAAGTATTGATAGGTCCTTAATGCACGTCGTCAAAAAAACTGGGTCACAAAATACACGGGATGTCGCCATCCTTCTTTGACATATACATAATTTGTTTATGTGGTTCGTATTATTTTTATGACATTTGATAAAAGCACTTTACATCTAATGCTCAACTCACACTGGCGCAGAGTCGATGCGTCGCGACGCGTCATGTTATATATATAAATAGGGATTAATATATATATATATATATTAATCTCTATTTTCCCATTGTTGAGGTACAAATTTGTGTTATGCAAACATGGAAACGGGCGTCGACGCGTGTCGCCGCGCGTCACTTGAGCGCAGTGAGGCGTCAGACGCCGATCACACTGTATTCCGGGCGCACTAAAGCGAGCGTCCCGTCATGCGGCGAAGCCCGTTGACGCGTGTCCCCAAGCGTTGTAGTTGATAAACAGGACGCGACGCGACGCTTCGACTCTGCGCTAATGTGAGTTGAGCCTTAAGATCACATGTGGCTTTATTATTCGAAGGGTTGAAATATTGAAAAGTACTTATTTACGAAATTCTATGTATAAAATGTCGTAAATATATCACATACAACCATCCACTTCATCATAGTGTTCCACTTGCTACGGTTCTCACACACATATTTAGCTTCATCAACAAGCTTTAGCGGTTTAATATCGTCGGTGTTTTGTAGAAAGGGCATAACCGATATTTCGTAAGTTCTTTCAGTGGACTGTTTTAAAATTCAATTTTAAAACAGGACGTAACTATTTTAAAACAATCGTCTTCTTCTTATCGTATCCATGGCATACAATATAGTATTGTGGCTCAGAACTCAGCCACGCCACCGCGTCACTAGCAGCCGCCATTAAATCCTCAAGCGTGCAGGTGTTAGGGCATGCAGGGCAAGATATGAGAAACACTGCGTTACTGTGTTTCGGATGACAGTCTCGGCGTTAAACGTGAGTCCAGGAATGTATGGCCCATCTTATGTTTCGTCTCGGCGAGATTTTTGGACATACAAGACGTCGCAGTGTAGCATGCGGCAGAGTTCCGATGAGAAATCCTCTATGTCAATCGAGACTCCGCACAGAGCTCCAGACTGAACGGTGGGATATGTTTGCCATCGTAGGGAAAGGGTTTGTAAATCGACGCAAGGTATTGGCCGAGTGTTGCCCATGAGGCGCTAGACGTACAGGAAAACAATGGTTCGTCGTGTGGGGAGGTTCCTTACATGTACCCTAAACAGTCGTTAAAACCTAAAACATGCTGCCCTGAAAATTCTACGAAATGTCTACAGAACACCGATGATATATATGCTCTTTGTTTAAAGGTACTGTTAGAATGTTGCCGGCGCGACTGTACCTAAATTATTTCCGTCTATATTTCAATTTTTTTCTTATAATATCAACTGACGGGACGAACAAGTCCTGCACCTGATGGTAAGCTACGTGCCTGTCCATAACAGTTGCAATGCCACTTAGAGCTTTAAATCGTAAAGATCTGAGGGGCACTGCCACTGCGCCCGTCACCCTGAGACATAAGTTGCAAAGTCGCATGCGCCTGTAATTTCACCAGCACCCTTACCCTTCAAAACCGGAACGCAATAATGCTAAAGTCATTGCAGAAATAGGTAAGGTTGCAGTACTTCCCTCGACGAACTCTTTCACAAGGAGCTCTACTGCTAGTAAACTGCTGTTTTGCACGGTATGATAATGTCAAGTATGACGGTGTACAGTAGGTAACGAAATTTCTAGGGAACGCCAGGTGTACGAGGATCACCTGGACTACCTGGTGAAACAGGCGAACCAGGTCCCGCAGGACCGAGGGGACCTCCCGGTTTCACCGACTATCTGGATATACCTAGTGAGTGTCTGTAAGTTACTTACTAAAAAGTAAGTACGTAGAAAACGTTACTTATAAAATTTAAATTAGAAAATATCTGGAATATTCTGCATAAGATCGCACCATCATTGTTTTATAAAGAGTTAAAAAAGTGTAATTATTGAGAAATTTACATGTTAATGAATAAAAACCGTATGAAATATACTATTGTATTTTTTTCAGTGGGTTAAAATATTGTGGGTTGATGTTGACGTTGATCTTTTTTATCGTGTCTAATAGAATTTAATAATATTGATAAATGTGCGATTTGATTTTTTACCTAGCACATTCTTTTGTCAATTTACCTAAAAATGTTACTTTACTTAAATCGTCACTATTTTATTGGGGGAGCGATGTGTAATTGATTGTAAATTTTTACGAGAATTTAATGAGAATTGTTGGTACCTAGTTTATGTGGGATTCTGAATATTTGAGTGCGTGCATTATTAAAATATTAGACGACGAGTGTACATAATACAAACGCGTGACGTTTATTCCCAGTAGTACTCGATGCTGTATACTCGATGGTGGTAGGTAAGGACTGTGCAAGCGAGACAAAGAATAAAAGGTGTGAAAAAACTTTTTTTTTTCCGTTCTCTAAGAAAAACCCAAATAAAAGGTGTAAAAAAAGTATCTTTTTCTTCTAAGAAAAAAACGCGCGAAGGCATTTAAAACTCTGTGATAATTTTGTTCGAAATACTTTAAAAAAAGAAGATTGAACAGTTTCATTAAAGTTTTGGTTTCTTTTAATATCCCACGTTTATCTGGAATAAAACTATGAATACCAGACTGTACTTTGGAAGCAATATACTAATGAATACGAGAATTTGAAGAAAGTATCTAGGCAAGAAATGAGAATAAAAAATCTATTTTACTATTTATATTTAATATTTTTATTTAAATTTTTATAATTAATAGATTTAGATGTGACTTTGCGGAAATCCATTTTAATACAAATGGAAGTCAATTATATTAAGTGTTTTTTTTCATGTAGTTAATTTTCCTAACCTCTCTCAGCATAAAATTAATACAATAAAAACACAAACGTAATTACAGTCATAACCACCAAATATTTATTATTTGACGTTCGCGCGTTCGGGTGAAGAATGAGCTCGTTCAGAACGTTGGCCAAAATTATACAGAGTGTTTTCGGTAATGCGACAGTATGGGGAATCCATATCTATGGGAAATCCGAAACCATCGAAAAGACAAGAAAACTGTCATAAGAACAATAAGTTTTTTTTGTGGAAACAATTTTGACATAGTCAATTTTTTGGTCAAGCGCGAGTTGTCCACAAAAATGAATAAAATTGTTAAAAAAATGTTCATAAGCTGATCGACTCAGTTTCATGAAGGGATCATTACATTGTATGGGACGAAAAAATCGGGACAACAGTTGGTCAAATTCCATAAAATTTTTTTTTTACAAAATGAATGAAATTGTCTATTTTTTTTATTTAATGCTAATAGACTCATTTTTTTATAAGGATGACTTCATTGTATCGGAAAAAAATAGGGACTGCAGAATTGATCAAATTCAATAAAATGATTTGACTTAATGGTTCCTAAGACAGTTTCCTTGTATGTTTTAGGGTTTATTTATTTTTATTAAATTTTATTACTGTTTCAGGGGAAAAGGGCGATACGGGTCCCCCAGGCAAGCCCGGAGCTATAGGTCCGACAGGGCCAGTTGGACCTATTGGGCTTAAGGGCGATAAGGTATTATAATATTTTTATATACTAACAAATTTTTTTTTGGGAATCGGTGTCTTCACACGTTTTTCTTGGCATTGCAGTGTATTCCGGGCAGCGTATATGGTTTTCAGTATGTGTACGTCATCCAAGAATAGATGAGTCGCTTTTGAAGTGCCTAAACAACCGAAATATCTTACACGGTGTGTCCCTTCGAAGTGACAATTTACGCCTTTTCAGCTACGGTATATCCACGATAGTCTGTCTTTTTTTAAGATGGAGTAAAATGACAGTTTATTGACAATAGTGTTGCCCGCTTGCAAGCAGCTAATGATTGCAGTCGAGAAACATTCTATCGACTATCGACTGGATGTTGGCTACGCTTATGCAATAAATAACGGAACTCGTTTCATTCCAACCATCATCGGCTCATTATTCGTCCAAATACTGAGCACACGTTTATTTGTATTTTCAATTTTTGTAAGTTCATATTGCATTTAGAATTATCTCTATAGATCATAGGTTCCCAAACTTTGAAGCTCACCGCCCACCTAGGCAAGATAAAAAAATTTCAACGCCCACCACTACAAAAAATAATAGAAAACACGTATTTTTTATATTAATTTAATTTAAAAAATCACAAGCAAAAAAAAGATATACGTATGTAGTGAAGTGTAAATATATAATTCTGACATTTTCTTTAAATGCGGTAGGTAGCAGCCTCTGGACAGCATCAACGTTCCCAGTTGTTTCCGAGGCCCTACCGCCCTAGGACTCCTCGGCGCCCACTGGGGGGCGCTAGAGACCACTTTGGGAAACTATGCTATAGATGAACATGTTTTAAAGTTTTGCATTTTAATTCGTCATAGCTAATCAAATCCGCCTGTTCTCGTTAAAATGTATATGAATAAATTACGGAAATTGGACACTAGTACGCCAACTGTCAAAATAAGAACGAAGAAGGCAGTAACACAAAAAATAATCATTAGAACGTCGTAAACATTCATAATTCAGACATCTAATTTTTACAATCTATCGATAAAATTGTCAACAACATCTTCATGACTATTGCAAATTTTATGAAAACTGACAACCCTGCTAATGTTATTTTACACTTCCTAAAAAAAAGTTAATTAGATACGGCTAGAAACGCTCACAAGAAGGCGTCTCTGCTTAGCTACACTTTTCCAGCTAGGTAGCTGAGAAGGCGTAGGAATGTAATTCATTGCTTCAAGAGGTCATACTGTGTACGATATTTCTGCTTAGGCCTTATTTACACTAATTCAGCGATCTGTAGTGGGTCTTGACCCAACGAGATGGCTCAATCTCTGCGTGCAGGGCGCGGAGATTTTTCACAACTTCGTCCCTCTATCGACCAATCGTTCGTCGACCACTAGGATGTCCCTTGTATGATGCCCTTTTCACCGCCCTATCGGGCACACCCAGTGACTAATAAATGCTTTCGATAAGACATGATTTATGTCCAGCATAAAACCAAATGTTTTTTTGAATAATCAAGCTACTTAAAATTCTTAACAGGGTGAAAATGGGCGGATCGGTCTACCAGGTCCTCATGGAATGAAAGGAGATAAAGGAGATTTAGGGGCTGAAGGACCACAGGTAAGATAAAATACTGGATATATTTAATGTTTCAATGAGGGTTGTATGTCGAAGTTTGGCCGGACACAGTGAAACTATACTCAACCATATATTGTTTTTATCCCACTTATATCAATTCTTCTATCGTAAATTACAAAATAGGCACCATATTTTATAAATCACTTTATTTTTATGTAAATATGGTAAGTCTATTATTACATACTTTTAATTACTAGAAATAAATGGAAGCTCGTGTTACGAAGTTATGACTTCAGAGGGTTCTCGGTTCCTTTGTGGGGCAAGATATTCCGTACCTACTTATGTCTAAAGTGCACGTCTATCGCATGACGTCATAAAAATAGCACGAACTACATGAAACAAATTTTGGATATGTGAAATTTTATAACTTTTCGACGAGGCTATCAGCGCAAAAGTGGTGTAACTGACTTTTTAAATTCATTTTTATATTATCTAGTGACTGGACGAAGAAGTCGTACGCCTGACGGTAAGCTAAGCACGCCTGTCCATAATAGGTGCAGTGCCACTCAGAGCTTTAAATTGCAAAGATCTGAGACGCACTGCCACTGCGCCCGTCACCATGACACATAAGTTGTCAAGCCCAATGTGCCTGTAATTTCACCAGCACCCTTCTAAACAGGAACACAGTAATGCTGACATTACTGCTTGGCGGCAGAAGTAGGTAAAGGTGGCAGATATTTGGATTTCAAGTATAAAAAATATTTAGTTATTATTATTTTTTCAATTATTATAAAAGATATCATTGCTTTTTTATACACGAAACCAGCATTCAAATATATAATAATTAACTATGCACTTTAGTATTATTTAAAGTAATATTGTAGAAATAAATCTTAAATGTGGTTTACACCACACTTAGGCGGTTATTTAAGTATAAAAAAGTCATCGACTAATTACGTTTGTAGAATCTTTAAACCTGTCTCAAGAAAAATAGTCATTTTGGCCTTCTATTACATCACAAAGGGTGCAGGACTCGCTTGAGGTTACGCGATAAGTGCCTACCGCTGATAGTATCGCCAGCAGTGCAAGCGCTCTGACAAGTATTTAATTTACATTACAATCCTTGTACAATTTTAGCATATTCGGTTACGCATGACTGCACACGGCGGGCAACGTTATTTTCACCTCTCTGAACGCGTGCTTAGGTTCCTTTTTCCTTGTAGTGAGCGTCTGGTGTCATTAGTCAGATTTAGTAGGCTATGAAAGCGTAGGTATTCTCAAATGCATCTGTTACGTAGTAACTATTAAATAATCTATGAACAAGGTTGCTAATTGTATTTTCAGGGTCTACCAGGTGCTGACGGTCCGCCGGGACTTCCAGGGCTTCCAGGGCGTGTTATGACGCAGCGAAATAATACTCCTGTTGTTGGCGAAAAAGGAGAGAAAGGAGAGGTATTATATTATTAACCGGTCTTAATAACATAATTCACAATCTTTATTTTCACTTACAGTTGCACTTATAGGTATGTATATTCAAATCAGCACATGCACTTACATATCGAATAGGTTACTTTAGATTTATTATTTTAATGATCAATTTCCCTCCTAGTCGTTTGTTAGATCTTTCATTACAAATAACTTCTAGATTTAGTACTTCTCGTTGGTTCTGACTGAAAACCAGCACCTTAGGGAACTGCTGAGTCAGCGCCATTTTACTGCTATGACAAAAATGTTTTATTTTTCCTGTTGTATTCAATCAGTATTTGTGTCATACTAGTGAATAAAGTGTTTATCTATCTATGTTCAGAGAAGGTTCTCCAAAACAATTGATAGGTCCTATCGAAGGGCCTACTTTTTATTTTATGTGTACTCGTATGTGTGGGACATGTATTCTATCGTGTTGAAAGGCTTTGCCAGGCGGGGAAAGGTAAATTTTTGTAAAATAACAAACTTTTGTTTCTTTTTGTTGTGTTGTTCTGCTTTATATAGGGTTACCTTACTGGACTGCCCCACAGAGGTCCCGGGTTCGATTCCCGGGCCGGGAGAATATTTGTATGGCCTACATTTATATCTCTCGTGAGTTTGGGTGTAATTTGTGGTTGTCTACGTGTGTCCATGATACGCGCGACACAGAGTTTTACAAGTTCGTGGATATGTTGAGTGTGTGCGTTATTATTATTATTTACTTTAGTCTTCTCAGCTTGTTAGCTGGTTTGAACCATATTTACGGACCTAAGACCTATTATTATTACTATATCTTTCTAATTTGTGAGTTATATCAACTATTGTTCCGATTTGAAATGTCGAAAAAGAAGTTCTAAAAAGAAATCGCAATTAAGCGCCTCGACTCGGAAAAGACGCAGTTTCCGATCGGGAGAGGCAATCAAAATCAAGCTGCTGAAGGCAGTTAAAAACCAAAGAAGTCTAAAGAAACTAGTTATATTTCTACTTACAAATTATGAAACTTTTCTTCAGAATACACCACCGCATACCGTAGTAAAGTACCCAATAGTAATACATTTCAAAGATATATGTATAATTAATTTTCAGAGGGAAGTATTAACTATCGACTCTGTATCTATCATGCTCTGGCCACACAGAGACGGCCGCGGAAGCGTTCCGGGTGCGAAAATTTTTGTAATGTATATGTATAAAACGAGGCTAAGTGACTAAATATTGATATTACAACTATGCATCGTTAGGGCGCATTTATTCGATACGTATTTCACCGCGCTCACCCCGCGCGGCTGCCGCTCGAAAACTTTCTCCTCGTGTAACTGGATAACTGGACTCGTGTAACTAGGTGCTTTGGATAAGTTCCGATAAGTTGAATACGTTAACTAATTTTAACTGTTTTAAAAGAGAATTTTGTGCTCTAGCTTTTGCTAAGTTAAGTAGTTTTAGTCAGCAGTGGGCGGCAGATGTAATAACGCACGGCCGACGCGCGGCTGGCGCAAGTTTGTGTGCCAGGGTTCTGAACTCACATATTACAAAAATTCCCGTGCCCGGAACGCTTCCGCGGCCGCCTCTTTGCGGCCAGAGCATTATTCCGGTAAATATACTCTCAGATAAAATAGTGAATTGTAGTAGTTTGGATCTCTGTTTTCCAGAATCAATGATGATATGTTTGTGGATGATATGTTACACTTTATCTTACAATAAGAAAATCTAAAAGATATTGACATGGCAAGGGTGTCACTTTTTCATTATAAAATTTGTTCACTAATTTACTTATATTATTGCAGAAAGGCGACCTAGGAGAACCAGGACCTCGAGGGTACAGCGGCCAAGATGGCACCCCTGGATCGCCAGGAAGCCCTGGCATGCGTGGGCTTCCAGGTTTACCAGGGCCGTTAATGCCACAATTAATGGCAACGGTTAGTTTGTGATTTATTCAATATATTTATTTTTTATTTATTTATATACACACGCCCTTAGATTCCCACTGGAGTAGGCAGAGACTATCGATCGCCCCTTCGCATGATCCTTACAAACCTCTCTTGCTTCACTTACATTAATCAATATTTTCATACATACTCTCTTATTCTTCTCACTACGCAGTCCAGCCTTTTTAAGAACATGCTCAATTTCATCGGAGAATGTTCTTTGTGGCCGTCTTCTTCCAATGACTCCTTTTACATTAGCTGTATATATTTCTTTCGTTAATCTAACTACCCAAACCACCTAAGCATACCCTTTTCTATTTTTGTTACTACATATTTTTCAAACCATATTTTTCACAGATAACAGCATTCTTCACTCTATCACACAACCGCACACCACGTCAATATATATGTATAACTATATAAGCATAGTTTCCCAAAGTGGTACCTACCAATGGGCGATGAATAATCCCAGGGGGAAGGGGCAAAAAAAAACCTGAATTATCTATGAACTAACGCCACATATATTTTTTTCATTGTGATTTTTTTTGTGTTAAGATAATATAAAAAATGCGTGTTTTCAATTTATTTTGGTGATGGTGGGCGTTGAAATTTTTTTATCTTCCTAAAAGTGTAAAGTTTGGGAACCTATGATATAACGCGTACCGATTCTAAGTTTAATTTTTCTTTTTCTTAAACTTCCTTGCAAATGTGGTGGAAAACGTTGTATGTCACACAACGGAACAGCGATTACAAACGTTCGGGCCATTAAACGGCCTTTGTTTTTTGAATGTCCCTTTGTACGTAATTGCCAACTTAACGCCCTTGTAACACAATGTACTATTTTGTTTCAGACGCATACTCTTACTGATGAAGAGGTCCGACTTTTATGCCAAGATGTTATGAGGGGTAAGTAACATCCTTATAAAAAAAAACAAGCTATTGAAAATATATGTAACTGTGAAAAATTTTAAAACGGCTTTATTACGCGTTAGGACTATAGATTTAGAGAAAGCAAAACAAAGGCTCAGGTCATATAAATTTATTAGAGTAGAAAATGGAAATGGAAAGTAGAAAGGGGAAAAAAAAACCTTGCTGAAAGCTGTAACAAAAATAATAGAATGATAGAATAAACAAAACAGTATAGAGTACTAAAAAAACCGACCTCAAAAGTCATTCATCCCCTTGTTTGCCACCCTTAGAGGTGGAATATTTTCTTCAAGTTTAATTGGGTCCACATCTGAGGTATCTCTCCAATAAAAAATAATCTTCAAAATCAGTTCACAAATGCCACCGGAGTTATCGCGTAACATACATAAAAAACATTCTGTCGAATTGAGAACCTCCTCCTTTTTTGAAGTTGGCTAAAAAGGGTACAAATGTTATAAAACACACAGGGAAACCTTTATTGCATCCGAACCTATATAGGGACAGCATGGTAAAGCTCATTCTGCTGAACGAGAGCACACTCGTCTCTCGAGAAGTGTAGGTACAATGCAAGGATCTTGAGCTTTCAAAAGCTTTGATAGCTGCCTGCTGTACCAAACACTGTAGAGAAGCTCTGTCATTGGACAGGAATGGCTTTAGAATTCCCAACCAGAGTCTTAACTGGACATTGTGGCTTGAACGAGCACATGTCAACTATTGAGCAGAGGGAGAATAGAGTGTGTAGATAACTCCTGTTCATCTTCTCACTCAATGCTACCCCCTGATGGGCGTACGAAGCTCCATAGTGGGAAGGCACATGCCACAACCAAAAGGCATAAAATCTGTCGAAGCCAGGAAAGTCCGTCAGTTCTTCAATGCTGTCGGCCTTGGCTCTGAACTGAAATTTGTGGTGATTACAATAGATCAGTTGATGGTCGCAGTGATGAGGGGCTGCATGTGCCCCGAATGACGCCACCCTAATAGTAATAATAATAAGGCGAGAGTCTAAAATGGACATCCAAAACAATAATAATAATAATTTAAAACACTCCCTACTAGTATTAAAGTATAAAGTCAAAACACTTACCTCAAGAGGGACTATATACGTATAAATATAATATAAATTAATATAAAAATAAATATGTAAATATAGGAAAGGGAAATTACGTAATATAATATTGTAAATATATTAATCGAAATTTTAACAGATATATATATATATATATGTATATACATATATATACAAGTTTTACTTTTAGTAATTTCTTGTATATGTGTCAAGCAATCGCAATGTTACTATGGTATGATGTGATGAAATCATACCACAGTAAAGTGCTTACAATTTACTGTGGTATGATTTCATACATCATTTTTTCATTACAATGGGATATTATAGGTTGTATGAACAAAAGACACACCTGCACACACAAACACACACACACACACACACACACACACACACACACACACACACACA